TTTTTTTTTTTTTTTTTTTTTTTTTTTTTTTTTTTGTGAGAATGGAAGACAATTCTGTGTTGATATGAACACTATATTTACACCAAATTAAAAAAAAAATCTGTTGCTTTATCGTTAGAGCTGGATCAAGTTTGCTTGTGGTTTTGTTATTTATTTATTTATTAATTAGAGTGATAAGAAATTGAGTTTGGAAACATACTGAAAGACACATGCAAACTCTTGTAATACTGTGAATAATCTTGAACTAACAGGTCTTGGTCTTGACTAGAGAATTATGGTTTATGATGATGTGTTTCCACAAAGCAAGTTTAGTTGAGTATTTTTTTATCTCTTCCAGGATCAAACATAAATCGCTGTGGATTCAGAGGCTCTTCATATTTAGGGATGCCTTTCAATGCCTCCAAGGTCAGTTAAGTTTGTGTTTGTGTGAAATATTTTCAATTGGGCAATAAATGATCTTATATCTTTTTATAATATTAACTGCATACTTACGAAATATCTGTCGTGATTCGAGCCCAGAGGGCAACTGAGCATCATGCAGCCGTTCACTCACCCCTTCCCCTCCAGCGCTGGGAAGGAGAAAAATGAATCAAAAGGCTCAGGAGTGGAGATAAGGATAGAGAGGGGTTGCTCACCTGTTCTGGTCACAGGCAAATGACAGGCTCATTAGGGGAAGAAAAAAAAGGTCATCACTTTAATTCAAACACTAACAAAACCAACACTTAACAGCCAGAATGGGACAATGGGAAGTGTTACCATATCTTAAAAAAAACCCACCTCCCCCACCTCTCCCTTCTTCCTAGGCTTAGTTTTGTTCCTGATATCTCTACCTCCTCCCTCAGTATCACATGGTCAGGGGATGTGGGTGCAGTCAGTCCTGCAGCTTCTTCATGCAAGGTGCAGGGGAAAGCATTCCTCTGTATTCTTACCCCTGCCCCACATGCTGTCCCTCTCACTGGAGACAGTCTTCCACGAACTCTCTCTGCTGTGACTCCTCCCCACGGGATGCATGCTTCTCGAGATGCTCCAGTGCGGGTCACCTCCACGTGTTGCATCCTCCCAGCACTGAACTACAACAGTGGGCGCTGCTCCTTCCCACAGAGCCCCGGGGGTCCTCCACAGGCTGCAGGTGAATCTCTGCTCATCTGGTGGCCTCCATGGGTGGCAGGGGGCAGGCCTGCTGTCTCACCACGGGGTATAGGGGAGCTCTCTGCTCCAGTGCACCCCCTCCTCCTTCCTCCTCCTTCCTTCCACTGACCTCTGCATTCACACAGGTGTCCTTCTTGTAATCCCTCCTCACAAGTGTCCCCAACCCCCTCTCAGGTTTTCTTTCTTAAATATGTTATCGCAGAGGCAGGTCCAACTTGGAGCTAGGGGAGCTGGAGCTGGGAGCTTTCAAGAAGCTTCTCACAGAGGCCACCGCTGAAGCCCCTTCCCCTGCTACCAAAACACTGCTACACAAACCCACCAGAATCTGGAAGGCAGTGATTTTTGCACTGCTAATACACTGAAATGTTTGCAGAGCTTTTAAGAAAAATTCATAAAAAAATGTACTGAAATGGTACCACTTGAGCTTCCAGGGCTGTGAAGAAATTGGCATACAAAGTGTGACTTTTCTCAGTGCACTCTCCCCCTTCTCTGATCTGTTACTGAAGCAGGGAAAATTCTGTAACCCAAGAACTGTCACCTGGTAGAGGTGTGTAGAATAGCTCCTTATTAAGTGGTTCAGCACATGCTGTTCTTCAGTATTCCTCTTCCTGTGATGAAATACGCGTATTTAATTGCACCTGGTACCCACTCAAACATAGGCAAGGCTCTGCTCATCCCAGTTTGTCATGACCATAAGAGAGGATGCTTTGAAGCCCGCGGAACTGAAGTTCAGGAGTTAAATCTGTATATGAAAAGAAACAGTCCTTAATGCAAGAGAGAAAGGAGGTGTGCAGAGGCTGCCAAAGATGGTGTGAAAGGTCTGATACGGTTGGAAGAGTGAAGTAGAGGCCAGGGTGCAGGAAGGACTCTGAAAGAGGTACAGTAGTTCTGTCCTGCATTTGAGAATGAAAAGTCAAATGTAAAGAGTGAATGAAAAATCCAGAAAAGCACTAAATTATCACCAAGTATTTGATTTTTGTGGTGGACAGATAGCAAGATTTTAGATACAAATTAATGAATCCTGGGATCTGAAACTGAAAAGCAAGGATGGACATTTTATACACTAATGACTGTAGTTGAGTGTTAAAATTGCTTGAATGCACGAGTATGAACGTAGTATAGCAGCCTGTTTTGGCCTTATTTACTTTTAACAGTATAACTTTATGCTTCTGAATAGCTTGTGGGAATGTTAATCTATACTGGACTTCTAACTGCATATGCCTCTTAGCATAGCAAATAGGGCAAGTACTTGAAGCAGTAATATTCAGAGGTTGCACTTTCTAACAAGGGAGGAATAATTGTGAAGAGGGTTTTTTACATGTCTACATGAACCTGCAGGAGGGACAAAGGAGTTGAATCATGTAACCTGTGGAAATTAGCTACAAGGTCATTATCTCTAGAAAACTGCAGATGGATGTGCTTTTTATTCGAGCATTTCAATACTTTTTTCATTACATTTGCATTAGAGGGATCAGATCTGTTTGGTTTATTGACATACAAAGGTTTAAAGTATTTCCTGTACTGTTGCGCTAACATATTCTGAAATAACTCAGAAAAAGAAATACTTGGAAATCCACTGCAATGACTCTGAATTATGTTTAAGGTCTTGTCATTTCTCTTTATTCATAATTTTAAAATGTTCTATTAAAGCTACTACTCAAAAAATAATTTTTGAAAAAGCCTGTAAACATTTTGGATTTGCATTGACAGTTACTATTTATTACATGCCACTGTAGTCATTTCACTCTGAGAAAGTACCATACTGGAGGTAATCAAATCCCTTCTGTCACTAGGGTCCTTCCAAAATAATGGAAAAAAGGAAGGGATATGTTAGAATTTCCAACTTTACTAAATGTTACCAGGATAGCTCATTTGGTTTTAGTTTGGGGGTTTTTGGGGTCTTTTTTTTTAGCTGTTACCCTTTCAGTGTTTGATTGTACTGTCTGCTCCTCTTCAGTACTGTAGCTAAAGTGAAGCAAAACCATATCAACCATTCACTAACACCAGACACAGCCTTAACAAGCCTTAACAGTCTTAATTGTAAATGAAGGCTAAGAGTGCTGCTTCTATCCCTGCATTTAAACATGGATCATTTAAAATTTGATTACAGCTATTTTCTGAAATGGCTCCATGTTCTAAAGTCTCTCTGATTTGGTGTTACTGGAATTTGAAGTAGCTTTTTAATTTTAGGAGTGAACAATCCCCTCAGAGTTTCAGGTGGGCCTAGGTATTTTCAGTCTCTTTAAAGTGTTACAAATAATTTTTAGGGGCTAGACTGAAAGCCAATACCGTGAACTTTTATGTAAGATTCAGTAAATAACGTACACAACATCGTATTTTCTCAATGCTGAAACAATCCATGTTTGTAACAGTGATGCCAGGTGTGAGAAGGAAGTTTTTTGAAATTGGGCTTTGCCTGTATAGGAGTGGATTCACTAGCATTCTTTATTAGTGGTTAGAGAGATCTTGCCTATGCTTTTGCAGCAAGCAGAGTTTCTTAGCCCTTTCTGCAGTGCTCAGCAGGAATTGTTGGTGACCATGAGTTATGTTTGAATAGGTGGTCTGGATAATGTCTTAAGGAACATTATCATGTCACTCAACCAGATTCAAATGTTTGAAAGTTTCCCCTCGCCTTGCATTTTTAAATGTTAATTTTTTAAAGGAAGGCTCAGATTGTGGAGACCATGATGGTCATGCCCATAGAGCAGAACTGTTTTACTCTGTCACTGAGGTCCTCTGTTTTCTTGTGATCTTAAAAAGGAACTTCTTTTTACCAAGCCTGAAGAAGCCAATTAAAGATCAGATGCTTTGACTGTGGTGTGTTTGATAAATTTAGGACAAATTTCTACACAATGTCTGAATTACTTTCCGACTATGAAAATACTATGTCCTATGAAGGACTACTATGTCCTTCATATCAGAGGCAGTCTAGCAACACTTCCTCCCAGCCATGCAGATTTTAGACATTAGCAATTATCTCATGAGACCTTTGAGACTTTCTGTAATCTTTTGCATTTGGAGAAGCCATTGCAGTCCTACTTAATGATATAAAATTGTCACAGGGCCAGTTTCTACAAATTTTATGAATTCTCAATTTTATGCAAAAATTTTTTTTTCTTGGGTTGGTTTTTCTTTTGTCTGAAATGTCCAATTATTCTGATTGTTGTCCCCTCAAAGACACCCTGTTACTTGGGCTCAGTTGTTGCGTTAGTGTGAAGTATATACTAGTCTGTGTAGGTACAACATAAAATTTGGAAAGTAGTATCACAATGAGCTTGAAGTCATTACATGGAACCTAGAAGAGAAAGTAAATTCCAGTACACTTAAAATTTGAATGGTGATGATTAGTGTATAGAATATATTAATTTTCTATTCTTCTGGTGAATAAACATATGTTTTGTTACATTTTTTTTTTAAACTACATGTGAACAGAGATCTCTTAGGCTTTCAAAAGCTTCCAAAATCCTACAGTAATTACACATATGAAACATCATGTTGGCCTCTGTGAGTATGCCTTGTAGTGATTACTGTATGATCTCATATTTGATTCTGATCATTCTGTGTATTGAAGTATTGGCCATATTTGTTGGGATTTTTGACCCTAAATCAAATGTTTTCAAGGTATTGGCTGCATACCAGTATGCTGGACCCTTTGGCACTTTCACTGGATTTTTTTAGTAATTACATATCAAGATATCTAGCAGCATACCAACTTATACAAAGGATTTAATTAGTTACCACATGATAATAATGTGATAAAAATAGTAGTAGTAAAGGTAGTCATGTGACCTGTGAGCAACAGCTCTTGAATGTTGAGACCATCTCCCTGATACCCCACATAATGATGTTCTGAAATTATGTATCTTAACAAAGTCTTTTCTGCATTACTTGTAGTTTAATATTTGTTTGATGTTCAAGGACAGGAGCAGATGGCAGTACTGATTTAGCTGTGAACTTCGTGATTGTATGTACAGACAGCAGACACTAATGATTGCTTTATATGCGTCATACAAATATAGCTTGTGCTCCTTATTAAAACTACCAGAGTCACAAAATTCTATACAGCTCTGGTGTTGCTGAAAGCCTGTAGTTGGAAAAGCAGTGTGCTACCACTACATGTTGAAATGTTTGCATAGAAAAGGAAGTACAGATAGAATTTGTACATTGTCCAGGAAGTGTAGTGATTGATACAATTTGAGGGCGATTGTACTATTTAATTTCGTACAATATGTGCGCTTATAACACTTTGCCTCCATTCTGGTTTTGTTGCAGCTAGTAATAGTGTAACAAAAATACTAAAATACAGAATTCACTAAAAAATAAGGGCCCAGTTATTTAAACATGTTTGTAGGCTGCCACAGCTTTCCAGGCAGTGTGGAATTAGCATGTGTTTAGAAAAGTACAATTTAAAAGAAAAAAGCCTCTTGTGCATCAGGAATTTTTAGTTACTTTACATAGACACTATGAAAAATTGTTGCTTGAAGGAGAATGTTTGAGAACTGTAGATACCTTAGAAGATGTCCTGATTATCCAAGCATGTTTGTAGTAGTTAGAACATTTGGGTAGATTTTTCATAAATATGGTTCTAAAAACCAAGTCTGAATATCCTTAGAGTAAATCGTTCTTGCTTAGTGAATGTAATCTTCCTCTGGAAAGAATATTTCCAAATGTAAAGTCAAACTCATTCATGGTGTCTATTATTCTTCACTTGTTCCTGATGTCAAAATTGATTTGGAGATTAATTACCTGTAACAGTGTGTAAACAGCAGTGGACAGTTAAAGTTGATTCTCAGGCTCCAGCATTTTTAGTGTATTTGTGTGAAATGGCAGAGGTATTTTCTGCGCTTGCCTGCTCTAAGGTATTTCAGGTAGGAAGAAATTGTTACTCTCATTCCAGCTTAGCTTCAATTATATAGATTTTTGGAAACTTAGTTTTCTTTGTAGTTGCTGATGGGAACTGTTGGGACATTTTGTAAGCAGTTGGTCCTAATATCAGAGAACCTTTCCAGATATTTTTTCACTGTATAGTTCATATCTTTTATTTCGTTTGACAAAATACATGAGAAGCTTTAGGTACAGAGCTGGGACATTGAGAATCCTTTTACTCGAGAGCTGGTTCAGATTTGGTAGTTTAGAATAGAGACTCACTTTGCTTAGAAGTAAATAAATCAATTACATTAAACTGAATACTTCTCTGTTTCAAAGCAAATTTGTGTGACCCTATATGTCTGGATTTTTGGAGCAGAATTTTACATTTGAAATAAGTTGATGCATCACAAGGGTTAAGCTGCTTATAATAAAACTTTTACAGGGAGGATACTCTGAAATGAAGATTAGATAGGCCAAGTTGTTCCTTCTGGGATTAGAGCTCAAGTTAAAAAAACATGTTTCATGACTGCAGTAGCTTTTTCTAAGCTGTTTGAGGGCACAGCTGTCCTCCATCTGTGGGGTGTCCCATGGGGAAGTTTGGGACTGGTGCACCTCTCCTACAAGGAAAGACTGAGAGAGCTGTGAATGTTCAGCCTGGAGAGAGAAGGCTCAGGGGCATCTCATCAATGTATATAAACACCTGAAGGGACAGTGCAAAGAGGGCAGAGCCAGGCTTTTTTCAGTGGTGCCCAGTGACAGAACCAGAGGCAATGGGCACACACTGAAATGCAGGAGCTTCCCTCTGAACATCAGGAAACACTTCTTCTCTGTGAGGGTGACAAAGCACTGGACAGGGGTTGCCCAGAGAGGTTGTGGAGTCTCCATCCTTGGAGATACTCAGAAGCTGTCTGGATATGGTCCTGGGCAGCTGGCTCTACAGGTTTGGATCTGATGACCTCCTAAGGTCCCTACTAACCTCCACCACGTTGTGATTGTGTGTGTGTGACTGGGGGATGTGCAGGGCAGACAGTGGTGGGGTACTGGCAGCTGAGGGGCAGGAGTGGAAGTTGTTGTGATTTGTGTCCACTTCTCAACAGAGTCCAGATATGGAAACGAGGGAGAGGAGGTGCAGCTTTCAGTGCTCACTCCCTTGTTCCCCTTCCCTTAGTATAGCTAGAGCTTTTTCACTGCTGTTGCAGTCACTTCCACCTTGTTTTCTGCCTCCCTTTCCCAATGGTGTTTGATTCCCTAGTGTAAGAACAGTCCCTTGCTGTCTAGTAGGTAATAAGTATTTTTCTCCCAGTTTCTTATTAGGAGCACCTCTTTCTGGCTTTGGAAATAAGTGTGATTTATCTGAAAAATACCAGTGCACATAACATAATCTTAAATTTGGTTTTACGCTGCTTTTGCATGTGTTTTTAGGATGAGTTGCAAAATGGCCACTAAGCAGTAATACTAGTAAAATGTGATTTAAAAACTTATTTGTCTATACAACTCAGTATTGAAATAGTTTTTATCCTGTTTGAAATGGTAGTCTCCCAGTTGCTCCAAGCTGAACCATCCCAAGTATCTACAGTCATCTTGTTACATGTGGTTTCTGATTTCATGAAGTGGTACAGTCCAGGATATGCCTATAAATTATCAGAAGGAAAAAATAATTCTGGCACAGCTGTATCAATTCCCCACTCATTATTGTGATATGTATCATGTGACTAGTCAGCATTTAGCTTTCATTTTAGCTTTAGTTGACATTATCTGCTATGTAAATACATTGTTTAAAGTCTGATTATTGTTTTAGAGTAGAGGTGAAAGTAGATGAGAGGCTAAATTGGTATTGCTTCAATGGACAGATTAATAATCCCTCACAGTGCCTTCCACTTGCAGATCATTAGATTGTAAAATCTTTGAAGGGACATTCAGCTGTTTTAAACAGTGCTTACTCAGCTGCCAGAAAGCTAATGCCCAGTGATGTGTCAGGATAAATTTAGGTACACTTGAGCACATCCCATCTTTATGTTTAACTCTTGCATAAATACCACTCTTGGTGAAGCTTTTTTCCAAAGCTTTCTACTGACCAACTGTTTACAAAGATAGAAGAGCTGTATAGCAGCTTAGTTGCATTAGAAGGGGATGCCTGACTGGGATGCCTTCAATTTAACCATAATGAGTGAAGGGAAAATAACTTTGTTTACCTCTTAATTTTTTTCTAAAAATGAATGTTTGACTGTAATATAAGGTCTTAAATTTTTTCAGTATTTTTATTTTGTCCCCTGTTTTTCTAGGGTCCAGGTGTATTTCATCCCTATGACAGTGGGCACATAGCAATGACTTACACAGGTCTATCATGTCTGGTTATTCTTGGAGATGATTTAAGTCGAGTAAATAAAGATGCTGTACTGGAAGGACTGAGAGCTCTCCAGCTGGAGGATGGAAGGTAAAATATTCTTTATATTCTACAACTCTCTGAAAGCTTAATAGAAAACCCAGATGTGGAATGAAACATAAGAAACGTGGGTTTTATGAAAGTACCTATATAATCTTTTATTTCTTTTAGAAAATACTTTGGTGGGTAATCATTATCAGTTGTAGAACACATGCCAGTTTACAGGACCGAACAGCACTTGATATATTAGCTTTCATATTAGAGAATGGTGCTATTTGCTTACAACTGTAGGTACTTATTCCTGGAAAGCTAATGAATTGAGGATAGTACTTTTTCTGTTCTGTCCTTTAGATAAGTAAGGTTTTCTGTGTTACATTCTCTGTTTTTTGCAGGACCCTTGGACACTACTATGATGATGTTTGCTCTGCTTTGTGGGAGGATGGACTTTGTTTAGTTTTATGAGATTTGAGACATCAACATAGAGTATAATTAGCCTCTGTATTACTTGTACTAGTATAATATTACTAAACTTCATTGTGAGATCTGTGCTTCTTGCATACATTTTCTAATAGATGGTATATACCCCTTGATCTACTTCTGCTGGTGGGGCTTTTTAGGTTTTTTAAATCCAGATTGAAGCTGGTAGCTATGAAAACTTCTGCTAGTGTAGGTGATCTGTCTGTGTTTTTTAAGTTTTACTGAATGTCATTCTTGAAAGAGTAATTTAAGAAATGCAGAATTATAGAAATGTTGTCCCTGAAGGAATTACCTTTCACTTCACCATGAAATTGCTGTCATCCTTTATGAGTTAAAGCTTTTGTTCTGGTCATATGCAGAAGAGTGCCAGCTAGCCCGTAGTGCTTTGCACTGGCATAGAGTTGATACTTTGGCAGGAATCAACTTCTAGTGTGACAGACATTTTCATAGCTATGAAAACTGGTTTTACTGCTTCAAAGAGGATGTGTGAAGGCCAGAACTTGAGCTAACATCTTGCCAAGAATAAAATAGCTAGTGAGCTCAGTGAGGGAGACCTTTTTCTGCTGTTACCCTAGTATAAACATGCTAGTCTTAGTTAATAAAAGTGTAGAAACAAAAACTTAAAAAAAATATTTAAATTATACTGTCTCTTTTTACATTATGAATAAATGGATGTACTTCCACTTCTACTTTACCTTAACTGAATGTGAGAGGAAGTCTCTGAATAACATACAGTGCAGTTGTCACCTGAGGATGGTGCAAGATTGTAAACCACAGTACTGGCACATGTTAAGAAGTGTCCTGGTTTCCCAGGATGTCCTGTGTCTTATCAAGAGCAATGGAGTTGCTCACTGCCTGAGCTGGACAGAGCAGGGCCTGGCACCATTGGGGTTAGGAGGGAAAAAGCATCTCCCAGTAAATCTTGGAGGCAAGAAGATCGTGAGGTATACTTGAATTGCAAAGAGGGAGTGTCGTAGTGGTGATAGTAATTTTTAAAAGACTGTCTTGAAAGACAGCACTGCCTTGTTTTGTTGGTTTTTAGAAAAGATTTGTTCAGGAGGACTCATCAAAATACTGTATTGTGCTGGCTTCTTGCAAATGGTTAAATCATCAAAATATACTAACTAGCTCTTTGAATAAAATGGAGGCTTGCCATGCAGCAAATTATAGAACAAACAATTAAAGGTTTGTTTATTGTCACAGGAATTAAACTTATTACCTATTTCTGTTTATCAAAGAATCATTTAGTTTTGAAAACACCTTTAAGATTATTGAGTCTAATCCTTAACCTGACACTGCCAAGTCCACCACTAAATCACTTCCCTAAGCACCATGTTTACATGTCTTCTAAATACCTTCAGGGGTGGTGACTCAGCCACTTTCCTGGGCAGCCTGTTCCAGTGCCTGACAACACTTTCATTGAAGAAATTTTTCCTAATAACCAGTCTAAACCTCCCCTGCAGCAACTTGAGGCCATTTCCTCTTGTCCTATCACTTGTTAGTTGGGAGAAGAGACTGACACCCGCTGTGCTACAACCTCCTTTCAGACAGTTGTAGAGAGTGATAAGGTCTCCGTTCAGCCTCTTTTGCTCCAGGCTAAACAACCCCAGTTCCCTCAGCTGTTCCTCATAAGATTTGTGCACTTCTAGGCCCTTCAACAGCTTTGTTGCTCCTCTTTGGACACACTCCAGCACCTTGATGTCTTTCTTACAGTGAGGTACCCAAAACTGAACACAGTATTCGAGGTGTGGCCTCACCAGTACTGAGTACAGGGGGATGGATGATCACTTCCATAATCCTGCTGGCCACACTGTTTCTCCTACAAGCATCTGAGTCACAGCATCCATCTTAATTTTAAGAGTCTCTGAGAGAGCACAGGATTGTACCTAGATAACCCAGATAGAAGAAGTTTAAAATATTCATAGAGTTTGAAAAGACTGTAGCTGTAAGAAATCAAAAACTGGATTGAAGGTAATTTTCATCATTTGTATTAGAAATGGTAGTAATAATAATTACTACCTACTACTACTACTAACAGCTACAGTAGTAATAACATGGGAAACTGGTCCTAAAATTGCAGTCAGGAAAGAAAACCTTGTAAGCTATTAAGATTTCTAGGAAAGCAAAGAATTCTGCCCAACACAGTAAATGCTAAAATGGTAACTCATACATCAGTATATACTGTGATAGGTGAAAGACTATAAGCATTAACATCTTTGAGTAAATAAAGACCAGTGTCATTACATTGCTGGAAGTAAAGTCACCCAGGCCCCTAAATGTTAACAGTTCTATTAATTTTGCTTAGTATCATCTAAAAAGAAAATCTAGCATAGCATTGGGTTATATTTATGTGAACACTGTAACTAGAAGTAACTAATTTTTGAAAGAGAAGTTATGCAATTCCTTGAACTGCTTTTCATATTTTCTGATACAACAGGCTGTAAGTGTATAATGATAGAAACATTTCTTTCAGTTTCTGTGCGGTGCTGGAAGGAAGTGAGAATGATATGAGGTTTGTGTACTGTGCTTCCTGCATCTGCTACATGCTTGATAACTGGTCAGGCATGGATATGAAAAAAGTGATAGACTACATTAGAAGAAGTATGGTAAGTATTCACAAAGTTTTATTTCTTACAACATTTTAAAGTTACTAGCTTTATTTCTTAACTATGACTAAAAATCTTGCTATCCAGATCAAAATATTATGGTAACTTCTTTCTTTCTGTTCCTACTTTAGCAAATTGAAAGTGAAAAAGTATGTTGGTTTTTTGTGTTTGTGTTTTCACTGTAATATGTGTACTGGAAAGGTAATTTTATTTGGTGTGTTTGTTCACTACAAATGAAATCTGATCTTTTTTCTTTAAAAATTTAAAATTGAAAACAAGTTTTTGAAAACTGGGGCCTGATGTTCCTATAACTTAGAGAAAGTGCATAAATAAAGCATCGCATCAACAAATTTATCACATTTCAATGAGCTATAGTTCTGCTTTTTAAATGATGTACAGAATCAAAGGTAAAACTTAATTATTGACGTCAGTTCAAGCGTAATAAGTGTTTCCAGTCATACACTTCATTATTTATTTATTAGGTATTTGGAATGAAGGACAATATTAGTAAATACATGTTTTTTCATGATGTTTCATTAGTTTAATTGAGGTACATTTTCCAAGACTAAAATAAATGTTCTTCAAAGAAGCTGAGTAAGCTTGAAAATTATAGTTCCCAGAATGTGATTAAACATACCTAGTAAACTCTTCTGGTCCACAAAAAAGACACAAACTTATGGTGACATACAACATCTGTTGTAAACAAGAGTATGCTTTAGTAGTTGCAGCCAGCAGGGAGATTGTAAAATTTAAGTGAGAAACAAGTCTAAAGAAGACTTAATCTCCTGCTTCAGACCAAATCATGGGAGTTTTGTTGTTTATTTTTTAAGGAGACAGATGTATAAGCATTTCTTACTGTACATCACAAGATCCTTCCTGGCACACTGCCATAGTCTTGGACCAACCAAAGTGGTCAAGGGCAGGGCTCAGTTATACAAGTATATGGACCAGCAGTCTGTTCATACTGAACTAGCACCTTTTATCTCCCTTTTCCCTTTGTTCTTCTCCCTTGCTTGTTCCTCCCCACTCTGCTTTGATCTTTCCCTTTCTCAATATTGGTGCTTTCCCTAGCCATCCCATAATATATTGTGCAAACTCCTGCATTCCCCAGAAAACACCCCATGACAAGTTTTATACAAACCTGGAATTTTACTCCCTTGCATCTCCTAAGAGCCCCTGTACCCCAGTAATTAGTAGCCCACTTTAGGTAGCATGGGTTTGCAGGGTGAGAATATCTCTGATGATTGCTCTTGGTGGGTTTTCACCCAGAGAATGTGATTTATCCGTTTTCTTTTCACAATCTGAGTAAGCAACTGAGTCAGGGTGCTCTCTTTTCACTGCTTACGTCAGGAGGGTTCTTCCCCTTCTGATCCTGGACGTTTGTGTTTACTGAGGTGAGCCTTTAGTCAGATAGCTTAGAGAGATACAACAGGAGAATTGAGTAGTAAGAAAGAATAGAGAACAAAGCTGAAGAGTAAAATCCTCACTGTGGTGTTCTACACATCATGTCAACTGTTATTTGGCATTTTGTACACCTGAGTGCAGTTTTAGTCCAAAAGGATGTAGTGGAACTAGGAAGGGTACAAAGGAAGTTAAGCTGAATTGTCAGAGGTACAAAACAGTTTGTGCAAAAGGAGCGTTTAATATACTAGACTCTTCATTATAGAAATGAAATGATTAAGTGGAGTGTGACAGAAGTACCTAAAGCAGTAAGTAGCACTGACAAGATTAAGTGATCAGGGAGCAATTACTTCAAAGAGAACTAGAACATCATGGAGGCCATTGGTAGTTCAGGCAGGTGGAGATTTTTTGAAAGTTTGGAGCTTTGAAACGGCCCTGGAGATTTACTGTCCACAGTGATCTTGAACCAAATTTGTAACTTGCTTCTAGAGCCTTAGCATTAATCCTTGTAGCTGCAAATTCCAGTTGTTATGTTCCTGTTGGGAAAATTGACACTATAACTATTGACACTATAACTACAGTAACTATACAGTGAATATTGCTATAGACTTTCTTGCAAATGATTATTCCTTTTTTGCTACAATGTTACCTTATTCTGGTATTTCCATTAATTATAAAACAAAAGAGATTGCATTGCTTAGTAGTAAACTTCTGTGACAGAAATGTGTGGTTTTGTTTTACTGTCATATGTCATCATTTGCACGTAGATGAAGCAAGGAATAATTAAACTTTTTTTCAGTTCAAATTGACATACATGTGTGTGAACTGCAACTAATCTGGATGGAGAGTAAAACAACTGGTTAAACACAGTAATCTTTATAATAAGCTTCTGGATTTTTTAACTTATTCTTTGGAATTTATTCTCTAGTTATGCAGTATAAGAATTGTGACGTATAATTCAGTACAACTGAAAGAGGGAGGAGTCATATGAGGAACAGCTGAAAATTGCAACATGAAACAATGGTGGCGCCTTATTTGGAAAAGTAACAAAAATAGTTGAATCTTCATACAGAATGGACAGCCATCTTCTTATCACTTGACTAAAAGTGTTTGTGCGGTACTGATCACAAAAGTAATTGTGGATCAATTTTACCGTCAGTAAAAGAGCCATATTCCAGACACATGATTTTTACCAGCTGTCCTGGTTCAGCTAGGATAGGGTTAAGTTTTCCCAGCAGAGAGAGAGGGGGAAGGGATCTCCAGCCAGGTTATTAATACCATGCTGACTTCAGGTCAGGACCGACGGCAGCATGGGAAGCTTTCCTTTGTGGCTTTGGTGTCGGGGAGCATCACGAGCGAGCTGTCTGTAACCATTACGGTATTTCTCTGTATATCTTTTGTCTTGCTTACTGTTACTGCTGCTTATTGTCGTTATCATTCCTACTGTTGTTGTTCAGAGTGTTTATCACATTATTGTATTCAATTTCTCCTTATTTTAACCTGGGGTTTGTGCCTCACTTCCAGCCTGACCAGCTGAGGGTGGGGGAAGGGCAACGGCAACATGGTCTCTGGTCCCGGCAGGGCCTAAACCACCACAGCCTTTTTGGCGCACCAGCGTGGGGCACAAGAGGGTTGAAATAACAATCAAAAAGGGACAGATCCTGACCAGTATGTGTTTAGAGCAATCCGTTGGGTGTAATTTTTCTGTTTGTATTTGTACTATTAGATAAGAAAAAGTTTGCAATGCTGCCACACTTCCTTGCATGCTGGGGCTGGATTATTCCTTATATCCACTGTGTGTTCCCAGTGCTGGTGTTTGTTGTCGGTGGAGAATGTATAAAGGGGATTGTTTTGTTACACGGGCTATTGACTGCCTATAATGCTTTTGTATCGCTGTTTGTGGGGGCGGGCCGGTACCTGTTTGCTGCCTGGGCTTTTGTTAGGGGTCTCACCCCCTGTGTGAGTGAGCCAGGGGAAGAGATTCTCTCAGTTTTGGGGAGTATTAATTATCATTGGAGTCTGCAGGGCAGTGTGTTTGTGACACAATGCTTTCTGAATGTCTGCCAGATTTTGGTGTTGGCCATGCAGCACTTCTCTAACAATAGCAGTGCCCGGAAACTGCCCCGAGGTCAGATAATAGTGAGTGGCAAGGGGTGTGGGAAAAGGCCTGGGTCAGTGGTCGCCTCCAATGCTTTGGAATTTCACTCCCGAACAAATGCAGAGCCCTGATAATCTGGTAGAGTGCTTATAAAGGGTGTGTTACCAATCTGGCAAAACCGAGGAGACACAACTCACTGCGATGTGCTGGAGACTTGCCCATGCCTACCGTGTCCTCTTTAATACCACCCACTGCCCTCAAGGGGGAGAAAGGGCTGCAGGATCTGAGATGAACTTACTGGTACAGCACCTGGGCCGGGGAAACAGGCAGAGCCAGTCTCAGTCACCTCCACCAGCACAGCAGCTGAGCCAGAGAGCCAGCCAGTGCCGGTGACAGTCACCCCGATACAGAAAACAAAACATACCAGAAAGTCAGCTTTCAAAGTGGGGGATAGGGATGACCCAGGCCCAGCACGGGAACAGGAGGAAGGACCAGAGGTGATCGTCCTATCTGTATCCCCAACTGAGTTGAGATATGAGGAGAGATTTCGGCCGCCTGGGAGGTGAGCAGATTTGCACCTGGCTGCTCTGATGCTGGGACAATGGAGCCAGTGCTTTTAAAATGGAGGGGACAGAGGCCAAGCAGCTGGGATCTTTGGCAAAGGATGCTGGCATTGATAGGGAAATAGGGAAACAGACTCAAACCCTCAGCCTTTGGAAGCAACTCCTGCTCAGTGTAAGGGAGAGGCACCCCTACAAGGATGATATCCTATGTCACCTAAGCAAATGGACCAACATTGAGAAAGGCATCCAGAACCTCAGGGAACTGGCTGTGTTTGAGATGATTTATGGTGATCTGAATGATCAGCAGTCACTCATGGACCCAGATCAGGCCCCTTGCACATACCCTGATGCGGCGGAAGTTCCTGAAGAGCGCACCAGAAGCACACTCGAAAGCATTGGCAATAGTGTCCTGGTGGACAGACACCCACACTCTAACAGGGGATGGAGTGGTTGGCAAGCTCCGACAATATGAGGGAAATCTCCCTTCCACTCAACATTCCTGGGTCTCAGCTGTGGAGGAACTGTCTGAGAGGGTCCAGAAAATGAAAGAGGACATGACGTACATTCCACCTGCACGGGCCGATGTCTCAGCTGTTAGAAGTAAACGTTTCCCCGCCCAAGAGAAAGGCAGCAGAAGGCACACACCACGAGGCACCCTGTGGTTTTTCCTCCGTGACCATGGAGAAAACATGAGGAGGTGGGATGGACAGCCCACTGCCGCCCTAGCTGCACGAGTAGAGCAGCTGAAAGGGAAGACCATCACGAAAGGGGAGTCCTCCAAGAAGAGCGCAGCTCCAGTGTCCAGTCAGAAATCCCCCAGGCAGAATAGAATGGTGAACATTATGTCTGACCCTCTTGAGGGGACCAGTAAATCATTCTTGCAAGAAGTGAGTAATGATGAGCAGGATGAGAGGGGCCCTGCTTCCAGCCAGGTGGAG